AAGTCCTTTCTGAGCCCGACATGACAAGTCAATGGAGACAAGGCCACGGAGTGGTTAAGAATGTGTATTCCACAGTCAAACTGATCACCATTTGCTGTATGATTTGGGCAAGCTACCTGGGGTCCTTATCTACAAAAGTGTGGAGATGGCAGATAATAATAATACGAGTTGGATAATGTATATAAAATGCTTAACTTGATATGTAAACTTAATAAATGGTACCATGTGCTGCCTGTTATCTTGGTCTCTACAAACTTCTGAGATCCTGTCAAAGGCAGCGATCCCTGTGACTGTGTCCTCTTTATGGCAGAACCTCTGCTTGCTGCTGTTTTCATAGCTGTCCACCTGCTTCCCAGAGCTCCACGGCTACCCCCGGGCCAAGCCACCGCAACTTCTGCCTGGACTCCCGCAGTCAGCTCCTAACTGGTTTCCATTTCACTCTTGCCACCTTCCAATCCATTTTCCACTACAATATCCAGGGCAACCATTCCGAACTTCAAATCTGATCATGTCACTCCTTTACCTGAAACTCCTTACTGTCTGGTCTGCCCCTCTCAGTTACTTAAACTCCACAATCCAGTCCCTGGCTTATAAGCCATGCATCATCTAGACCTGCCTACCTCTTTCAGGTCCTCCAAAGGCTCATCAAGATCTTTTCTTGGTCGGCGCATCTTCCCCTACCTGGTTCCTGCTCCCCACCCCTGAAGTGCACCTCACTTACTACTCAGCCTTTGGTCTCAGCTCGCATGTACAGCACTTCCTCAGAGAGGCCCTCATGGACTCACTAATCTACATGAAGTTTCCCTGTTTTATTCTCATTGTAATGCTTGTTCAACATACCACCACTGTAATTATTTCCTGTCTCTCTGTATACCAGATCTGAGCTCTAGGAGGCTGGGCCCCGTCTGTTCCATTCTTCACTGTCTTCACACAGTGTTGCCCCAGAACAATGTCAGGCACATAGGAGACACTCCTTAAATAGTTGTTTAATTAACAAATGTATGAATGAATGAATGAATGAATGAGTGAGTGAATATCGCAGGTGTGAGTGCTTCTGTTCTCCCCCCACTGATGAGCCAGGCTTGTGTGCTGCAGTGCAAACACAGTGACCAAGGCGTCAGGGGACCTGCCTTCTAAGCCCAGCTGCCCTGCTTTTGGGGACCTTGGGGGCCATGGGACCTGACACAAGCTTCGGAGGCAGGAACCATGACTTCGTTATCTTCGTGCCCAGAGCACTTGGCACAAGCAAGTGAATGAATAACTCCACGCTCTTTCTGATTCTGAATTCCCTCAAGCCCACTGTCAACAGGACTTTGGGAACTCAAACTGCAGTTTTAGTTGGAGGCATCTATACAGAACGTAGATGCCTATGCAGACTTTAAAGATGCAGACGTGGAGAACTGAGCTGCCCGCCACGCAAGCCAGTGCCCTCTGTATAAGCATGGCCACGACTGTAGAGGCCTGTGAGCAAACACGACGCCCAGTTCCTGGGGCCGCTTTGAAGTCTCAAGGAAAACGTTGACTATTTAAAACTCTATGAAGTGCCAACAAATTGAGTTCATTTCAACACAAGTCCTCGGCGCTGTGCTGGGAACGGGGACACGACAACGACTAAGTGTCTGTTCGCCATGAATTCAGTCTGGCAGACGGGGAAATTTGGAACTAGGAGGAGAGATGGCCTGGAAATTCTTCAGTCCTGGCCTTGGGAGAGGTGGGTCCACGCGCTCCGTTATGTGAAGCATTCAGCAGTGACGTGAAATCAAACAGCCACAGTAGCAAACCACTTGTCTGAGCACACAAAAGGCCAACTGCTTCTTGGCCTCTCCTGGCAATGGAGGCATAAATCGCCGGCGTGTCACACCCTGCCGGGATAGCCTCAGCCTCGGGAGCTGAGCCCAGAAACTGAAGGCTTGGAGGAGACTGCGCAAGGAGCCGTGCAGCCGCTGTGTCAGCAAGTGGGGCCTCTGCCCGACGGCGGGCCTGGCGTTCAGCGTCCGCTCAGCCAGAAGCCAGTGATTCTTAAAATGTGGTCCATAGACCACATTCTAAATAAACCAAGTGTGCCCTTGCAAATCCACAGGAAGGATGGGGGTGGCTTTGTAGAGCTCATAGATCCTTGGATGAATGGGAATGCATCCGAGCCAACAGAGGTGCCCATTCCATGCTGGCTCTAGCCCTCCTGCCGGGTCTCCCGGCTCTAAATGCAGCGGTCCCTCTTTCAAACAAGAGGTTATGTATGGCTCTTCTACTTAAACCAGATACTGCCTTGTTTTATCTTCCCCACAATCCTGTGAACTAGCTTCTTTCCATTTGACTAATTTTGCCAATTGAAGACACAGAGCTAAAGGTTCTTTTCTCACGTCCCCTGGGCTGGTAAGTGGCAACCTTGAGAGGGGTTTACTGATGTGAAGTTCCTGCTCTTTGCTGTACATTTTGCTGAGCCATTGGCCTAAATTTGATTGATCGTCCTGTCAGGACCTCTTGTTCAGGGATTCTCTCCTTTTGGTGTCCCCCAGCACAGGGAGGGTTTCCTGGGGCGGGACAGGTGGCCTGTGGAGGTTTGGATGCCCTTGCTGGCGAGTTGCGTAGGCCTGTCCCAGGCTGACACAGAGGAGAGGTTCTCTGCAAGGTGGAGTGGGAGAGCCTCCCCCTGGGCCCCCCCGAGGCTGTGGATCTCCACTGTCCTGCACTTACCACAGTCTCATGACCCCTCAGTGGTGCTCAGGGTGGTGGGTGGCCCCTCAGTTACTGGGCTACTGATTGTATTGGAGACTAAGGCTTATTTTGATCCAGTTTCCTTGCAGAAGGTGTGGAATCAGGGCTGCCAGGCTTCCTTCTGAATCATTCCTGCTGGGAGCCACCGGGAGGCCCCAAGTCTGCCGGCTCCCTGTTCAGCCCACCTCTGTCCATGCTTCTTCTCCCCTTCCCCCTTTGAGAGCCAGGGCTTTTCCCTAAGAAAGCCCTTTCCCTGCAGCACCTTCGTGGAAACCCTGAGGTTCCTCCCTCCAACCTGGGGCGGAGGCTCCAACACCTGCTCCAGGGATGATCCAAGCACAGGCGAGGGTGCTGGCAGCAAGTGTGGAAACAGACCCTAGATTCAAATATAGGCAAGTCACGCATAACCCCCGCTCGGGGAGCCAAGGGAACAGGACTGACCAGTTCCCACTCTCTCAGAACCCGTGCCCCGGGCAGATGTGGGGGGCTCACTTGTCCGTCCCTGCGGAGACTACTGTTCCCTCCAAGGTCCTCTTACTGCTCAATCACATGCCTGGGGGGCCACCTCCCACCCCACTTCCCCCTCCTTTCCTGGCCCTGCTCCGTTCTGTGCCTTTTAACCACACACAGGACTCAGCGCTCCAGAGCAGCCCTGCACGGCTTCAGGGCCACTGTGGGGACCCCCTTCCACCTTCATGGTCCTCCTTTTGCTCACACTGCAGCACTCCCCACCTCGGCTTCTCCTACCTACTCCCAGCCTGGTTCTGGCCCCTTCAGGCTCCTCTCCACCCACTTTCTGGCTCTTCCTGAGCTTGACAACCCAGGGCTGAGTATGGAGCTGGTATTGAACACTTTTTGTGTTGACTTTAAATCACAGAACGTCAAAACTTAGGAACTGAGGAATCCACAAAACGTCAAAACTTAGGAATCCAGAGGTCAAGCCATCTACCACCCTGCTTTTCATATAGGGGAACTGAGGCCTGGAGAGAGATACAATATGACCTGGTCACAGGACCAGTTGGTGGCAAAGCCAAGACTGTTCCCAGGGTCCCTAAATCCAAGGTGCCTTTCCCCCATTGCCCATGATTGTGACTCCCACAGACAGCCCTTAGTCTATTTTACCCCCAGGAATAGACTGTGAGGGGCTGGCAGCTGCAACCTCTGAAGACTCCTTCCGGCCTCCGTTTCCTTACTGTGTGATGAGTAGGGAGGATGTGGGGGTTGGAGCCTTGTGGAGGTGGTGAGTGTTCTGTTTGCTCTTAACCAAGACCTTAAACATTTCCACATCTCTGGCATCGTGCCTGTTACTACCTGTAAGAGAGTGTGTTTCTTCTGACCCACTCCCCAAGAAATGATTCCTTGGGTGAAGGCTTCCCCAGGCCTGCTGAGGAGGGGAAGGAGCTGTGATAATATCTTTGGTTTGGGGTCCTGACTCCTCACCTTCTCCTGGGCCCCAGAGGCTCAGAAGACTCCGACACCCAGAAATACAGAATGAAACTTGGTTCGGGGGCCAGAGGGGCAGCTTGGAAGGTGGTGGGGAGAGGACTGGGGGGCCCAAGTGGAACTTCTCCAAAGGGCCTTGCTTCCGGGTCCACCCCCAGCTCCCTATTTAAAGGGGAAGGAGGTGTGGGAGAGGCCAAGGCCAACACCAGGGCCGCAAGTCCTGCCCTGAGAGCAAATTGCCCAAGAGGAGGCTGTTAAACCCAAGATCAGAGGCGGAAGCCAACTGCCTGCACCGCAGCTGCCTTCTAGCCCCGCCATATTTCTCCCAGCCCTGCGACTTCTTTTCTTCCCTGGTCCCTTCCTTTCAATCTGCCTGTCGCCTGTGATTTCCTTCTGTCTCTGTATCTACTTTCCTTCAATTCATCTGTTTCTCACCTGTCTTTTCCTCTGACTTTACATCTTTCTGTAAGTTTTTCCTCTGATTCTGTTACCCAGATTTCCTGTTTTTCTGTCATTCTCTCTCCTCAACTCTCTCTCCCTCTTTCTACAGCTCTACCTGCCTGTCTCTTTTGACAAAAAAAGCCCTGGTTCCCTCAATGGGTTTCCCCAAACCAGGCCACTCCTGCCCCACTCCCCAAACCCATCTCCCTGCTTTTCTCTGTCTCCAGTTCTGCTTCCCGCCTCTCTAGCCACCTCCCTCTCCCCCTCCCTCCTTCCACCTTGTCCCATCTCTGTCCATTCACCTCTCTCTCTCTTTCCATGACAGGCCCCAGCTCCTTGAATGGGCTCCATGGAGTCAGCCACCCCCAGCCCGAGAATGCTGCCTCAGGTGTATCACTTACCCAGGACCACTAGCCAAAGGAGGCAGGAACATAAGCAGCTCAGGAACATGCAGGGGACCCTTCTCCAGTGGGCCCCTCTCATGGCTCCAGAAAGAATCCCTCAAGCTCCCCAGGGCAGCTCCTCAGCACAGAAGAGGTAGCGTGAGGAGCAGAGGTGAACCTGTCCCCACCGGCCGCTGGCCTGAAACAGGTGTATTTCCCTGAGGGGCCAGAGTACCAGGGAAGAGGACAAAAGAAGGCGTGGCTCCATGCCAATCATCCTTGCCCCGTCTTTTCTTTCCTCAGTCTCCACCCCCTTTCCCCCACCAGGAAAAAATTTTAAAAGCACCAATACACCCATTGCTCTGTTCCTAGTCAACCTGAGCCAAGTAGGGCAAGGGACAGGAAGGGCATGTAGGGGACTAGAAACCAGGACACACTGGAAACAAGGGGGCCACCCTGCTGCCTGGGATCCTGGGCTGCCCCTGTCTGGTTGGCACTTTGGATTGCCACAGCGGGAGCCCCTGGGTCATTTCAGAAGAGAGGGCAGGGCAGAATGGGAAAGAAAGGAAGGGCCAAGAGGGAGTGAGCTAGGGGCTGTATGAATAGGAGAAAGAGTGAAATCTGAGGGGACCCTAAGAAACATGGGAAGTGGGGGGAGCAATGTGGGGTGGGAGGTAGGAATCAGAAATATCCTTTTGGGGAGGAATGTTGGGTTCAGAATATCTGCGAGGCACTAGGCACAGGGCAGACCCTTGCCCAAGGGTGAATTTCCTCTTTCCAGGAGAGGGCACATAGAGCCAGGGTTCAGAAAGCCTGAGGCAGCCTGGGAAAGTTGCTTGAGGGATGAGGGGTGGGAAGTGGGGTTGAGGGTTCGACATGGGGAGAAGGAATTGTGACCCCACGAGGAAGTGGGGGCTGTTTCTGGAAAACTTGGAGCTCAGGTCACCCATTTTAACCTCTTGGGACTTGCAGGAGTAACCAAGAAGGGACAGGAACCCCCAACAGGGTGTGTCAGGCAGAGTCTGAAGTTGAGAGAAGGTAGCTGGTGTACTGCTGCAAAGGACAATGGAGACCTTCCCCGGGCTTTTGCCGTGGCGTAAAGCCCTGCTTCTGGTCCCTTAAGACTTGGTTCCCTGAATGTGGAGTCTGTGGGCTGATTGGTCCTAGAGCAGGGAGCTCAGGCTCTCAGAGACTGCACAGCTCAGGAAGAGAAACCAGCATTTCCACATTCCCAGGGAGAACCTGGAGTCATCCAAAGATGGCTGGACAAGGCTCCAAAACCCTATTGGCTATTTGCTTTCTGAAGCTGAATTGCCAATTACAGCTGAAACCCCAAAACTGGACCTTAGTTATAATGCAAACACTACAGAGAAATAGCATGGCACCCGCATCAGTCCCACAACCTCTGTATGGACGAGTTGATCCCATTCTTTCCTGGGAGCAGGAAATTCATAAAGATAAAGAGGAATTTTAAGCATAGAGCGGTGGGACAGGATACGAGGAAGCTATCACTGGAGAGAATATGCATGGACAGCAAGGCCTACTTAATCATTCTTCTGCGTCAGTTCTTACTCATGATTTCTTTCTATTAATATATTGTGTGTTTTTTTGGTGACACTCTCTGGATCACAGTTTCCCAACTACAGAGGAGGAAAAAGCATTCCAAGTTTAGACCAAAGTAAGAACTGGATATCTTGTCGACCTAACACAGCTCACCTCTCACTTCCCAATGCAAGGGACACTGGAGGTGCAGAGCATTCTCCAGAGGCTACTGTGGTGGCCAAGACTCCAGCTGGGTATCAGGCTACCTGAGCTTGAATCCCAGCTCTGCCACCCAAGGCAAGTCATAGCTTTTTTGAGACTTATTTCCCTCATCTATAAAATAGGAATATATGTCAAAGAAAAAACAGAGTTGGACAGTAGTTAAAATAGATAAAACAGATTTTATTCATGACACCTGCAATAGTGGAAAAGGGACTTCAGTGTAGAACCAGGGTTGGCTCTAAATATAGCATGGGCAAGTGGGAATTTATAGCAAAGGAGCAGTGTGGGGGTCAGTGGACAGAAAAATACTAAGAGAAAACATTGAGGGTGAGGGGATTCTGGCTAAACCAACTAAACGGGATTTTTGGCTGAAGACAGTCCAGGGTGATCAGACATCACTGGGGGATGGTGAAGGATAAGGAATCTATGAGACACTGAGGGTCACCAGATATGGAGGATGGGGCACTCTTGCCAAACTGACATGATGGGGCTTTTGCTAAACTGGATTTTACAAGGAAGTACACAGACGGTCTAGAAAGAGGTTTGGGAGCCTGGCCAAAGTTCACTCAGGCAAACGTCTTCGTCAAATAACACTTACCTAAGAGGTTATGAGACTAAATTAAGCTCAAACAGATGTGAAGACACATGTAGAGAGCACTTGGCTCCTCATTTCATCATGACATCATCCCTGAAGGTAGAAACAAGTGAGGGAAGCAGGGGATGGGAGGAGTCTGGAAAGTCATTCCCTAGCCCATCTGCATACCAACGTCTTTCCGGTGTCCTTTTTGGGTTTTAGGACATTGGCACATGTGACTTTAATTCATCTTCTTCCTGCCCACCTCCAGTCCCCTTCTCCTTTCTCTTTCGGCCCAGCCACCTCTCAGCATGCCCATTTTCCAGAGCTGGGATGCTTTTAGGTCTCTGTGACAAATGTCTCTCTTTATCTGTTTGTCCTTCCTTCTCCCCTCCCAAGGCATCTGATGGGGACAGAGAAGGGTAAGAGAGGAGGAGACGAGTGGATACCCTGAGTTCTGTCTGGTGGAGAACTCCGAGGCCCACAGACTGCTGGGCTTACCCGGGGGCAGGAATTCTGAAACTAAATTGAGGTTGATATTCTGAGGTGGGGGGCGGGGAGGGGCAGAGAGCTCAGTCTGGACTTGGGGTATAAGTAAGCTGGAGCAAGGATAAGATTATGACCTTTTCACATGGAAGGAAGACATACACGCAGCTTTAACAGACTCAGCCTGGGTTCTGGGCAGCGATTTCAAGATTGTAAAAGGAGACTTCTCTTCTAAGTTACCCAAAGTGGGAAACTCTTATTTGGGAGGGGTGGGTGTTAAAATCTCTTACCTCCATATAATTTATGTCCTGGTAGATCCTTATGCTGCTAATAAAGTTACTCCTGGTCAGACCTAAGACACCAAGACTGAGATGGGGCAGGAAGCTGGACATTTATTAATCCTCATTTATTAAATCTTGAATTAAAAGACTTGTAACTAGAGTGCCAGGCCCTGTCTATGTCCCAGTAACCCTGCAAGATATATGTCACTATCCCCGTCTCACATCTGAGAAAACTGGGTTCAGAGAGACGAACATGCACTCTCATCATTGCTGAGTCACAGTCCAGGTTGCGTGCTCAAATGGAACTGGGGAATGCTAACTGCCCTAAGTCACTCACCCAGGCCACAGGGGAAGCCACAAAGCTGGAATCTGAGGCTAGGTCTGCCTGGCTTCACAGCCAAAGAAGGTAATTAACACACACTGAGTGCTTATCACATACTGGTGGGCGCTTATATGCTGAACTATTATTTCCCCGAGGCAGACATGGAGATGTGCCTTTAAGAATGGACTCCCTGTCCAGCTATGAGGAGAGTGGTTAGCTGGCAGCCGCCAGTCAACTCCTTCAAGTGCGCCTGAACTTTCAAGCCAAGCCCACGTTCTTCTCGTGGTGACACTTGGGCCAATGATGGAGCATGGCAGGGCTGCAAGGACTTGGCTAGTTCCAGTCCCACAGGACTCTGTGCCCGAGAGCACCCCACAGAACCGGCAAGGACTCCGTGGCTTTGCCAGATGTGCTGGCTTCCCTGCCCAATCCTGCCTCCTCTTTTTTCCTTTCATGGGTGTTGTTCCCCAATAAATCTTTTCATTTCACTCCATCTCAGCATTTGCTTCCAGAAGGACCCAACCTGAGACACTCATGTGAAAGAGGATGACCACTTTACAGATACAGAGACTGACCATCCGAGCCGGGTTTCAAACCCAGATCTGCACAACTCCAAGTTCCCTGTCCACTGCTCCACACCCCACTGTCCAGCCAGGGGGTGTGTGGGCTCCTGCTGTGCTCAGTCCCTGTCCAGGAGGAGTGCATGATCTGCTTGCCAAAACAAGATTCTCATGCTGCAAAAGATACAGGCCAATGGGATTGACGCCCGGGTTAGGGGGCCTCCCCCATGACTGGACCTGCAACGGGAGTGTGCTGTGCATTGGTGTCAGGCCACCGCGGAGGAGGGAGCTGAAGTGACAAAGAGGAAGCTCTGTTCCTGAGGTCTTGGCTCCAGGCTGTGGTGGAAGCAGGGGCCCTGGAGTTTGGGCCACACAAAGGCCCCTGTGATTCTCCCAGGGCTGGGTTTCTCAGCCCCTTTCTCTAAAAATGTCCTGCATTTTCACACTAGTGAGTTCAGTTCCCTTCTCATTTTTTCTCTGAGGCAGAGGGGGGCCAGTGCCTACCCAAGCAACGTCTTCCAAGCCTGGGGTCCCCAAGGAGGAGGGGCCATGCTGATGTACAGGCAGGGGTGAGGGCGCAGTACTGACCTGAGGCCCAGGAATCTAAATATATCCATTCTTCACTCAACTTTAAGGAGAAGAAAACGCAGGCCTGGAAGTTAGCAGCAGCACTCAGTCAGAAACCCAGCATCCAGGCCCAGATTTGCTGTTTGTGACCTGTGGGTAGGCTTCCCTTTTCAAATCCTGGGGGGAAAAAAATCTCAGCCTCTGTTCTAGAAATGGAAGAGACCTCAGCACTCATGAAGTCCGCCCTCCTCATTCTACCACAGAAGAGGTCCGGAGAGAAGGGCGTATCCCAGGTCCCACAGACGCAGGCCTTGTCCCCATGTCTCTAGGGCTGTTCTGCTCTGAGCTCTGCCCACTCAGAGCACCCCAGTCACAACGGCTGCCTCTGGCCCAGGCCTTGTCCACAGTCCACACTCAGTAAGCCCTGTCATGATGGGGACCGAATGATGATGGCCCGCCGTCTCAGACACGGTCTCGACAGGCCTCCCACACGGGTGCGGACAGAAAGCCCAGCCCAGGCCAGGCCCTAAAGAGTCTTAAAATTAAGTTTACCATCACTGTTTTCTTCGCATTGTGGAAGTAACACATGCTCATTATAGCAGATACGGAAAAGACTTGAGTAGAGAGAAGAAACACACCATCAATAGGCTTGAAAAACCTCTCAATACAGATAGATTTTTAGCCTCTTCTCCAGGAATAACTCATATGCATAGTTTTAATCTATCAATATCATAGATGAATTTGGATTCCGACTTTACCACTATTTTTTTTTAAGTATAATCGGTTTACAATGTTGGGTTAATTTCTGTGATTCAGTTTATACACACACACACACACACACACACACACATACATATATATACACATATATATACACACACACATACACACAGACACACAGAAACACACACACACATATATATATATACATATATATATAAAGTGTATATATATACACACACACATACACACAGACACACAGACACACACACACATATATATATATATATATATTCCTTTTGATTTTCTTTTTCATTATAGGCCATTACAAGGTATTGAATATAATTCCCTGTGCTACCATGTAACTTTAAACATAAGCATTTCCTCCTGTTGTTACAAAACACTTCATGTACATTTTTTTAAGTATGAATAATATTCCATTGTGTGGACTGCCATCACAATTTATTTAATTCCATTGACACTTGGGCTATTTCCTTGTTCCTAGGACAAGTAACGCAGAGAAGATTTCATATCTAAGCTCATTTCCTTAAGTTTTGCTTTACTGCTCTGACCTTCCTTCTCCTACAGCAGGAAGTCAATGAATGTGAATTAGTTAAGTCGACAGGATGTAGGTGTATTCTTGGATACCTGGGGTTCATTACATTTCTAATGCTGACAGTCTAATGGTAGAGGCAAAACCAACAGTAAAATGAGACCATTACTTGGGTGAGCTGAAAATGATGGGTGGATTAAGGATTCTGCAGGTAGATTGGGAAACAGGTAGAGTCCCTCAGGAATGCCTTCCTAGGTGGTGGGGTCCCTGCCTTGATCTGTGATGACCACTGCCAGGCCTCTCCTTTGAACACCTGAGCTTGATACATAGCCCAGGTGATAGTCTAGAGAAAGGAATCCAGAAGGAATTTGAAAGAGAAAGGGGGTGGGGTGGGAGAATTTAGCCAGTGAGTCAGAACAGAACTAAAAATGGAAACAGTCCTGGAGCAAAAGCTAGATGGGGACTGAGGTTCTCTCCTCCCCTGGTCCCCAGGGAGAGGAACCTGCTGAAGCTGGAGGGGTGGGCCAGGGAGAAGGAAGGAGAGCAGAGCCAGGGAGTCCCAGCAAGCCCCACTCCCTGGGGGAGGCAGCAGAACGGAAGGTCAGCCGGGCACTCCAACAGCCTTGTTAATTTGTGAACTGGGTGCCAGACACTGCCTGGCACAAGGGATGCTGAGATGAGCAAGACACAGCCCCTGCTCTCACAGGGTCACAAGCTCGAGGGAGCTAGACATGGGGGGAGGGACATTTAATGACAAGCCCTCTAGATTTGTGGCCCTGAGGTCTGGGTATACGCTGGGCAATAGAGCAAGCTCATTGAGGGCAACCTGAGAGGATCACTTCCTTGTATGAGTCTCAGAGGGCTGCTGTAACAAAGTACCACAACTTGGTGGCTTAATACAACAGAAATGTATTCTCTCCCAGCTCTGGAGGCCAGAAATCCTAAATCAAGTTGTTGGCAGAAGCGTGTTCCTGCCGAAGTCTCTAGGGAAGAATCCTTTGCTTTCTCTAACATCTGGTGGTTGCTGGCACCCTTGGCATCCTTGGCTCACAGCTGCATCCCTTCAGTCTCTGCCTCCATCATCACATGGCCATCTTCTCCCCGGTGTGTCTGTGTCTATTTTCTCTTCTTATAAGGACAAAAGTCATTGGAGGACTGGCCACACTAATCCAGTAGGACCTCAGTTTAACTTAATTGATCGCATCTGCCCAAAGACTCTATTTCCAAATAAAGTCACATTCTGAGGTTTTTAGTGACATGATTTGGGAAGGGACATTTATTCAACCCAGTACAACCTCTTTGAAGACGTTTGAGAAGTTAAGTATGGGGGAGGGTATAGGTCAGTGGTAGAGTGCATGCCTAGCATGCAAGAGGTCCTGGGTTCAATCCCCATTACCGCCATCAAAATAAATAAATAAACAAAGGAACCTGATTACCTGCCCCCACCAAAAAAAAAAAAAGAGAGAGAAGGTAAGTATGGATCATTACAATAGATGACTTGGTCTCTGCAGGGAAGACTGGTAGTTGAGCCCACTTCCCCCTGTGTTGGCTCTGGAAATTCCCAACTGCCTGCCCTCGTCACCACTGAGTTGCAAGCCAGGTTGAGTGACCAAGGGAAATGGGCTGGATTAATTCCCTGATCAAACTTCCCTGGGGTGGGGGTGGGGAGTGAGACAGTCAGCAGACCCAGGAGCTCCAGCCTGGCTGCCTCCTGCCCTGCTGAGACCACCCTCCACTGCCCAGGAGGGCTGAAGAGAAGTGGTGAGAGCAGGGGCGAAGGGCCCTGCTGGAGCCAACCACACCTGCCTCCCCATCCGTGAAATCAGCCTTGCTGTCTTGAATGTCTTGCTACAGCTGAGTGAAGGTATCACACTTTCTGGTTTCCTTCTGAACGTGGAAAAGAAGGGTGGGCAAGGGGTGAGGGACAGGACAGTACACTTGAAAATGAACTACCCCTACCCTGTCCTCAGGCATTCCACAACTGGGCTTGTCAGCCAACTCCCCAGCCCCTAGAGTGACCCTCCCCACACACACCGCTCTCAAGGGTGGGGAAGGAACTCAACCCAGACATTTTCTCTTTCACTTACACAATCCCAGACTCACCCTTGATGGGAAAAAGCGACTTTTTATCTTGTCTGCCCCCTTGAAATTACTTCTTCAGGTGCACTTAGAATGTTCTCTTTCCCAGCCCTCGGTTCCTACCCACGCCCCCTGGTGCCCTGGGGAGCTGGGACCCAGGTGGGAGGAAGAAGCCAGAGGTTTAGGATGAACAAGCCTGCTCCCTACATTGCTGCAGGGACTGCAAGATAAAGTTTTCAAGGAAATGAGTTTCAGCTTCTGGCATCTAGAGATTGCATTAGTCATGAGACACCAAGTCCAGAATAAACTGCCCAGGACCTGACCTCAGGTCCACAAGATAAGCCTGAGGGAGGATGTCACTGGCTTCGGGAAAGTAGGGTGTGAGTGGGGCCCATCTCTGAGCCCCTGAAGAAAGTCTGAGTGCTCCGGGGGAAAGGGAAAGGGCTTTGGAACCACCAAGGGCAAGCTGCTTCCGAGCTGAACCTCAGTCTCCCCCTCTGAACAATGGGAATAGTAATAATAATTCCTATGAGCTTAGAACATAGAAGGTTCTCAGCAAATGTGAGAATCCCCCACAGGGAAGGTGGACATAGAAAGAGAGCCAAAAAGTTATTTTAAGTGAGAGTCTAGGATTGTTCTGGGTAGAAAGGCCAGCTCATGGAAGTGAGAGGAATATAGTATCATTCTTGCTGGGTGAATAACTCTGGAAGGGAGATGGGGAGGAGGGGTAGGCGGGCCTGACCATAGAGCTTGTGAGGTTACTGTCCCCACCAGTGTCCTGGTAAACTAGGAGATGGTCAGCTGGACTAGATCAAGTGAATGGATGTTAATTATAGGCAGATAAGCTCATTTTATGTAGTGATTATGGGAGTCGGTAAATTCGTCAAGAAATATGATTCAGAGGCTGGGAGGGAGGGAGGGGCCTGTTTGTGAGAGTGAGGTTTTGAGAATCAGAAGCAATCGTACTGAATCCATCTACTAAAAAAATATAACACACAAGGGCAGGGAAGAGGCGGGTCCTGGAAGGATATTTTTGAGGGCTTTTTTTTCGTTCTGACACTAGACTGTTTCACAGAGTAGTGAAAGTCTGCAGGCCCAGGATGCGCAGATGTGCGTCAGGAGTTCAGATACAGGCTCCAGTATCTTACAGTGATTAACATATATAGTATGGTTGTTAAATTATTGTGATATGCAATATAATAGTATATATTCTTTATTCTTATTGTATTAGCCTAGTTCAAGTGTGAGATTGACTTTCTGAAAATGCTTTAAAAATTTTCACAACTGTTATTGCCTGGGGAGCCCCTGAATGTCTGATTGCCCTTAACATGTCTGGGCGGCTGAACCCCAAACCACTGGTCCCTTTGAGACACTTTGGCCACTGCCCTTGGTTAGTTTGCCCCTCTGCCAAGAGCAGGCACATACCTGCAAGGAACCAGCTTTCAGAGGACCCATCCCATCCCCCACCCATGCTATCAGAGTAAAGATCATTGTACTTTGCCTAAAGGATTAAGAACATGAAACTCATGGTTCATGGGGCTCACCCCGGCCAGCCCTGTGGCCACTCCTTTTGGCACTTGTCCTCCTCCAAGGGCAATGAGAGGCCACTGCAGGGATATAACAGGGGTGACATGATCAGACTTTTGGTTCAAAGAGGGTAGAATCAAGTGGCAAAGGAGCAAGACAAGAGGCAGAGAGATGAGAGGCTTCATGGACTAGCCCAGGCAAGACATGATGGTGTATGGAGAAGTACAGTGGCAGGGAGGTGGAGAAGTGCTTGGTTGGAGGGAGGTTTCGGGGATAGAACCCACAGGCTTGATGGGAGAGGTCATTCTTCTGCTCCACTTTGAGCCACGGGAAGAATGATGGTGCCAGTAACTAAGAATCCCCTTCTTAGTGGATTTTGGTATCAAATAGTGACAACAGTCACTCCACCCCAGTGGAGCGGTAAGTTGGAGACATGAAGCGGGGTTTCAGGAGGAGCGGACATGAGTTCCTTTTGGGTAGGGTGACCATTTACCACTGTCTAGACCAGCACAGATTTAAAAATGAAAGGAGGCACCACTGGTGCAATTGGGGCAACGACATGAACTGAGCCTGTAGCTGGCAAATCAGACACATGGTCGTTCTCATTTGGGGACATATTGAAGTGGGAGGTATCAATGAGATACTCCGGTGAAGATATCAAGTAGACAGGAGATATACGTATCTGAGTTTAGACGAAATTTTTGACCATAGAGTTTTCCACCAGGAAAACAAGGGAGTTGCTTCATTCCAATCGCTTTATGGTGTTTAGGACACGTTTTATGACTGTTGTCACTATTTGATACCAAAATTTAGAAAGAAAGAAAGAA